ACCTTTAGTGTGAGTGCAGTCAATTTGAGTCATAGAGAACTTGACTTTGGTTGATGAATTGCCATCCGCAACAGTGAAATCGCCTGCATGGTAAAAAGTCCAATTTCCAGGTCCTTTTAGAAAACATTGGGAGGCGACGTATTGCCCATCAAAAGTCCAAAGTTGGAATTGCACAGGCTTTTAGTCCCACCCATGAACATGTTCAGTGTTGCAGACACGACGTCCAAACCTCTTGTGGGCTCGCCCAAGGTGTACTCTAAAGAATAAGCTATATGTCCCAGCAGGAAATGGGAAGTCAACTTCCCCCTCCACTTCAAACCACCAGGTATGCTGAAGGTATGCAACAGTATTGAATCTGCAGAGATAACATAATTCAATTCCAAAGCTCCACTAAAATAGATTTATTATATTGGCAATCAAACTACTTAATAATGAGCTTCACAAATTGCATCGTCAACTAGGAAAATTAAAGAAAATGAAGCATGTTTACCCATGTGATTTAACTTCAATCTCAAACAAAATCCACTAGTTTTCCTTCACAACAGTACTTACTAAGATTTATATATGTAACCCTAAATTACCCTTAAAACTTTTTAAATTTAAGGGGAAATTTCGGTTTTTCAGAGGGGAAAAGGATAATGGGACAGAAAGCGCTCCGAGCCGAAACCACTCCGCCCCCGTTACCGCTATTTCCCCTATAGTGGCAACAATAGTGTTCTGCGCCGTTAAGGCTCATCCCATAATGGCCGGCATCCACTCCGCTCTGCTATAATGGGAATAGGGCCGCTATTGACTACTCTGATGTACTATCACTTAACCAGTCTTCACCCTCATCAAGTGTTCAAGAATAAGGCAATGGATGCATGTAGATTCTGTGTAGAAATTTGACCATAAAATAGATGCAAAAAACCAAAAACTATTAGCCTATTAAATATTATCGATTTTTTTTCAAGTTTAGGAGAGTATTCTTCTATCAATTAGTTAAGGAATTACTCATCATGGGTATGAATTGGCAAAGACCTCTTCCAAGTGTTTTCCCCAAACAAATCAATTAAAGAATTGAACCTATAACCACATGTTTGAGGGCACAAGCCCCACGCGTGGACTAACACATGTTGATACTGGGCATTTGATTTACTATCCAATTATCTTCCTTAACGAAAATTATGAAATACTAACTCCACCAAATCTAGAAACTTCAACAATGTTAGTCCTAAACTTCAAGTGAGAATGAGTATTTCACTAAACATCGGTTACTGCTTTTTAACCCCATCCCTCAGTTCATTCCCATTCCCTTCATTCCCTCCTTCACAATCTCCCCATCATCAAACCATTCAATGAAACAACAAAAAATTCAGGCTAAACACCAAAATCTAGAAAACACAATTACATATAATAAGAAACAAAACTCATCACAGTGCTAGAAATTTCCTACATTCTCATAACATTAATGTTTAAAAAAATAAAAAATAAAAAGTCACCTAGATTCTTCAGTAAGAATATGATTCCAATATCTCCTATCATCAACCCCAGTTATCGATAGTCCCTTGTTAGCTGAAATAGCCAAACAAAGCTTACCACTCCCTCTATCAAGCCAAACTTTCTACACACAAAAAAAACTGGTCAGAACTAAACCCTAAAAAATCCATTTCCCCGAAAAATTAGGGTTTTCAAAATTAAACCTCAATTTACCTTGGTTCCTTTGTCAAGATCATTGAGGCGACAAAGGGAAACGTAAATATCACGTTTACCCAAACCAACCGGAAAATGATTAAAGATTTTGTTGAGAATAAGATGATAATTAGAAGGCAATTTCGATTCCCAAACAAAATCAGCAGAAGAAGCAGCATTAAAAGCTCGATTCAATGTCGCAAGTTGACAAATCTGAGGAGAATCCATGTGACCGATAATGGAAGCGGCGCAACTCTCCGGTAAATCACCGAGAGTGGGACCGAAAGAAGCTGCTGAATAAGATAGAAAAGAAGAAAATCGAAGACCAATGAAATTGAAATCGAAATCGAAAACAAAACAGTAACTTAGAAAGATTGAAGAAAAGGTTTACATATAAAGAGAAATTGAAAATTGGGAAGATTGGGAATACAATGGGTATGGGAATACAATGGGTATGACTCAAAAAATGTAATTACAATTTTTTTTCTTGTGTAAATTAATGACTTGTGTGTAAATTTTTTTTTCAATTACCTTAGACAGCACTTTCAAGAAGCGCTGCTAAAGGTATTACCTTTAGCAGCGCTTTTAGAGTAATGCCTTTAGCCGCGCTTCTGGCAAGCGCTGTCTAAGGTATACCCTTTAGCAGCGCTTCTGAAAAGCGTTGTCTAAGGTATACCCTTTAGCAGCGCTTTAGGATTTAGCAACGCTTCCTAGAATAACACCTTTAGCAGCGCTTTTAGCAAGCGCTGTCTAAAGTATAACCTTTAGCAGCGCTTATTCTAATTTTTTAATTTTTTTTTTACTGAAAACCTATAGCAGCGCTTAGGAAAAGAAAGCGTTGTCTATGGTAAGGCCTATAGCAGCGCTTATAATAAGCGCTTTCTATAGTATACCTTTAGCAGCGCTTCTCCTTTAATTTTTAATTATTAATTTTTCTGAAAACCTATAGCAGCACTTTAGGCATAAGCGCTGTCTAAAGTTAATTTTGCCATAGTGTTTGAAGCAACCGGTGTTATAATATAGAATGAAACACCTATGTCTCATAAGAACTGTTTTGAGGCATTGGATAAGACACTCAAAGATGTCATGAGAAAGCACGGTATTGCGAATAAAACCTTTGGTGGGAAATTTGTTATTTTTGGAGGAGATTTCAGACAGATACTTCCAGTTGTTCCAAGAGCGGGGCGTTTTGATATTGTCCATTCATCAATATGCTCATCATATGTATGGGACTATTGTCAAGTTCTAACACTAAAAAAAAATGAGGTTGCAGCAGGGAAGAGATAATACAAGCTCGAATGAATTAGCAGATTTTTTAAAATGGATCTTAAATATTGGGGATGGTAAGATATGTGAACCAAATGATTGATTGGTTGAGATATAGATTCCTTAAGAATAATTGATATCCAATTTTGATGATCCTATAAAAGCTATTGTTGATATCACATATTCCAATTTGCGTGACAATTTTCAAGATGTAGGATACTTACAAGGAAAAGCTATTCTTGCATCAACCATTGAAGTTGTGGACAAAATCAACCACTATGTACTGGACATGATACCAAGTAATATAATTTTAACTTTAATATATATATATATATATATATATATATATATATATATATATATATATATATATATATATATATATATATATATATATATATATATATATATATATATATATATATATATATATATGCACACAACTTCCAACAACAAATTTATATCATGTTGGTTCTATTAATGTATTAATATTTACACTTCATGGCTTTTTTAAGGAGGAGAGAAAGAGTATCTAAGTTTCGATTCAATTTATAGAACCGATACAACTTATACTAAAGCTTATGAAGTTCTAACTCCAGAATTTCTAAGTAAACTAAGAATATTAGGGCTTCCAAACCATAGGATCAAATTGAAGGTTGGTACCCATATCATACTAATGAGAAATTTGGATCAAACTGATGGATTGTGTAATGGAACAAGATTAATTGTTACAAGGTTAGAAAATCACGTCATTGAGGCAAAAATTATGTCAGAAAAGAACATAGATAACGTTTTTTACATTCCTCGAATGTCTATGTCACCTTCTGAGTCACTGTGGCCATTCAAGTTGATTAGGAGACAATTTCCAATCGTCGTCTCATATGCAATGACAATTAATAAATCCCAAGGTCAATCGCTTGATAATGTAAGATTATATTTGCCTACACCTGTTTTTAGTCATGGACAATTGTATGTTACAATTTTGAGGGTTACAACCAAAAGTGGTCTTAAAATCTTAATACATGACAAATAAAATGCACCGTGTTTGACCACTACGAATGTTGTATACAAAGAAGTCTTCCAAGAACTTTGTTAGTTGGTAATCCTTTCCACCTATTCCTTTGTGATGCAAATTAAATCTTGTTTAATTTATGTGTTTAAATACCACATATTTACATTAGTTTTTAAAAAATGGTTAATATTTAATATCTAATTTGATATATTTTCTCATGCAGATGTATGATGCGATTCGTTGTTGTTGGTTGGTTCATTCATTGACAAGTTCAACTATGAAATTTATAATATTGAGAAGTATACATCTGGACTTATAATGCTAAAAAAATTGAGTATTATTAGTGCAAGTCATGTGAATTTTATTGTTTAATTTACTATTTTGTTCAAAATTGATTGCATTTTGATTTTTTTTTATTAGTTTAATTTTGACACAAGATAGAACTTTGCAAATCAATATTAGATCATGCAATATGAAAATCATACGGGATCCGTGCAATAGCACATGTTTTCCACTAGTTATAATTAAAAATTATAATATTTAATTCCAATTATAATATTTATGACAATTAAGATGGGTAAACTTACCATAAGGATTAACGAAGTAGACACTATTCAGTAAACACTACTCTTTCTATTTCATAGTAGGTGTTCTTTTCGAAATTTTCACACTTTAAAAATAATAATTAATTATATTGATTTCAATGATAAAACAAACGTTATTTACTGAAATAGCCTTACTAATAATAGATAGTGAAACATTTATATGATTTAAAATATAATAAATAAAAATAAATTAGTGAAAATAAATAATAAATATTATACTGATATTTTAGATGGACAAACAATTTGAGATAAATAAAAAAAGTGAAACGGAGAGAGTATAATCAAATCAAGTTCATTTAATGTTGTATAATTCTCTTAATTTAATAGTGTACTTGAATAACCAACAAACATATAACGTAATGTAATAATGTAGTATTTGGTTTAATATCCATATGGTTGGAACATGAGAATCAAATATAGTACACCACTACACCTTATTTGTCATTCTAGGATATAAATGAAATATCTTGCCAGGAAGACAAATCAAGTTGAGTATTCCAATTCTCAGTATCATCATCATCCAGTTGAGTAGCCCATTCTTCAAAACTTGCAAGGTCAGAAGTCGAGTTCTGAGGTTTAAGCATCATATAATCTAACTGCGGAAATTCATCAAGGTTATTAGCATGTTCTTGATGAGGTTCAACCATCATATTATCTATAGGATCACAAGAGATATATTGCATTTGAGAAATGCTATGCGTGAGATCAAGTTGACTTGAGTGTGTGGAGGCAATATTTTGTTGAGTTTTATCACTTTGTTGCATGTTTTTTAGCATGATAATTTTGTTATTACAAGCTTGAATCTTAGCATCTACGATATCAATGAAGCCTTTAAGTTGCTCTCCTTCCATTGTATGGAAACATGGACTCCATGTTGGATACTTGTTCATCACAATCTTTTTGTGCAATTTGGAAATCTCAGCTCCAACCATATTTTTCCTATTTGCAAAATAGTCATTCACATCAAACTTCTTTGGAGTCGTCTCAATCTTTTGTTGCTCATACTTTTTAATCATTGAGTGTACAATTATTGTGTCTTCTGGCCAAGTTATCGGTCTAGCATTACCATCATCGCCATCATACACAACTAAACAAGCTTCAACTCCAAATTTTCTAGAGAGCTCACAAACTTTTTTGATTAATCCATTCTGTCTCCGAACGAAAGCTAATTTTCGAGCTTTTTGATTTTGGATGAACTTCATCGTTATTTTAGCACGACCCATCTCTACAGATATAAATAAAGATCGTTAACATCATGGACTTTATTTTCTTTAATTGTACATCATATACAAAATGAATTTTTTTCCACCAGTTTAGTCTAGTTTGAATTTGGTGAAAAAAATTGAAATATTAAATTAATATTTTTGTTAGTCTGCATTTATTTTTACTTAAATTCAAATCTAACAACCTATTACACCATGTTCGGGCTATCAAAGACGTCAAATTATACATGAAGTTTGATCAAAGATTAATATTGCAACACAGAAGAATTGATACCAATGTATTGACGAATGACACATATAACGAAGAGAAAGAAAAATTATTCAAACAAACTAACTCAAGAACATAGAACAATCAACCATAATAACAAAGAAAAAGCATGCCACTATATATAAATATGAATGTTGTATCAAAATTCTTACCTTTTGTAGATTTGTTGATCTCTCGAGCTTTGTGGTGCTTTGTTATTGTAATGAGAATTTCAACCAAGTTAAAAGATAATGTAAAGTTAACAATACAAGAATTTATAACCAATGTAGCCTCTTTTATAATGAGTGAATTGGATCTTTTATTTTGGAAACCAAATCTATACATAAATTTTGTTACCGTTAGAAATCAAATCTTTCATTTATTATTCCAATCAAAGTTAAATTATTTACAAATTATGTAGAGATGTCAAAGATTGTTAAAATATTTACATTTATTATTAGATGATATGGAACCCTCTTTGCGATGCTAAGAAATCTTGTAATAAATTAATTGTTTGCCTAATCATCGGCCAAAATAGAAATAAATCTTTTGATCAAGTGTCTTTATAAAGGTTTTTTTAGATTTGCATCTTAGTTTATAATTAACTAATATTTATATTTTGTCAAAAAATACCAATATTTATATTCAAATTAAATATCTATATGTTAAACAACAAAAGATTTAATTTCGTTTATTTAGGTTTTTTATTTTTAAATGTGTTTATTTTAAATTGTTGATATGAAAATGTGATAATGTAATAACAACTATCAGATTCATATTTAATGATTGAGATTAAAAGATTTTTTTAAATTTTGATTAATGATTTATCTTTCCTCTTAATCACATATAATTTAGTGTAGATCGCAATTTAATCTCAACATTTCATTTTTAAATCTAATGATTATTATTCATTCACACACACACACATATATATATATATATATATATATATATATATATATATATATATATATATATATATATATATATATATATATATATATATATATATATATATATATATATATATATATATATATATATATATATATATATATATATATATATATATATATATATATATATATATATATATATATATATATATCTTTAAAAATAAATAAATAATATAAGCTTAAATAGTCTTTTGGTCCTGGTAAGTTGTCATGTTTTTTATTTTTGTTTCTGTATAATTTTTTCTTAGAAATGATCTCTGAATGTTAAAATTTTTTTGGTTTTAATCCCTAAAGTTAAAATGACATATTTTAGAGTTTGAATTCATCGAATGTTACATGAACACATTTTTCTATAGTTGATGTTCGACTATTGAAAATCCTATATTCTTTACTAGACAAAGAATACTCTTTAACTGAACACAAATGATGTTATTATGGATCATGGTGAAAAGGGTTATATTAACTAACAAAAAATAAAGGTGCCTAAATTAATAGATGTTACCATGGTGGACTATATGGTCGAGGTAAAAGTGTATTAGGAAATCTACATTTTGTAGTAGTGTTATCAGTCTTATTTTCTATTATATAACCTAAGGGTTGAGGTATTTATGTGAATAACTCATCGTCCCTCTCAACTTCAGGATTGAGGTATTTATAGCAGAATGAGCCTGAATCCTAGCCCCCTTGTAAATAGAACCACATTTGCGAGAATTTGATATTGGATAGTTAATTCCATATTATTCAGGAGTGTGTGATTAACTTCCCCAAGACTTCTTTTATACCATTGTGGACTAGGTCACGTCGCCTCCCACCATTGCACGCTTTGGGATAGTTTCTAAGAGAGTGGGTGACGTATTCGAGAAGAGGGAAACTCATCCAAAAAATGGGCACTCGATCTAGGAAATGGGAGACCGTGGTGATGTTATAGGCGAGATGGCATATCCCTTGCCTCTATATCGCCCCTTCTGAACCCTTTATAAATATACCAATACACAGTCCCTCAAGCACCAGAGCTTGTAAAGGGCGGAGTAATTTAGTTTCATTTCCTTCATTCAGAATAGCTTAGAGGGAACCTTAAAGGAACCATTTTAGACAAGGCTTAAGTTGATCCCTTGTGGTGAGACTTGTGTTGAGTACCTCAGAGAGAATTCAGTTAACCCCTCAAGAGAGACTTTAGTTGATTCCTTTTGGAAATATTTTAGTTGAGACCATATGGCGAGACTTTAGTTAAGTCTTTCAGGTGGGTCTTTAGTTAAGTACCTCTAGCGAAACATCAGTTGAGTACCTCAGACAAGACTTCAGTTGAGTCCTTCAGGTGAGACTTTAGTTGAGTCTCATTGGCGAGACATTAGTTGAGTCCCTTAAGTGATACTTTAGTTGAGTCCTTCTAGTGATAATTTAGTTTAGTCCCTCTAGTGAGAATTTAGTTTATTACCTCAGGTGGGGCTTTAGTTAAGTCCCTCCTTAGGAGATGTCTTATAGAGACCATGTTTATATTGCACTTGGGCGACAATGACCTCTAATGTAATCTAGCATGTGTATTTCCTTTCTTAAGGTGACAAGGATCTCCTATGAAAGTCTAGCATTTATATTTCCCTTTTAAGGTGGCAAGGATCTTCCTATTGAAGTTAAACATTTATGTTTCCCTTTTAAGAATACAATGATCTTCTTATGGAAGTTGATCATCATACCATGTTCAACATCAAATAATTCTCATGTTCAAAGAATAACAAAAGATGAAGAAGCTCTTAAGTCAACTCAAAGGAGATTTCAACCTTTGGAGAAATATAAAGAACCATTCTCTAAAAATATTATATATGCTCAAAGGCACCCTACAAGGAATATAAGAGATAAGAAGAAAAATCAAAATAACAACTTCTTGTTTTGTAGATTATACTGTGCAAGTTTGAACCATAAGAGATTTGTTAAGAAACTGCTTAAAGACAGTAGTATACTCCATGAGTATATTTTTATTTAAATCTTTGATCCTGGAAATAAAATGATGTCAATCATTTTGGTCAAAGTAAAATTGAGAATTTTTATGATCTCTGATATGTACAAATTATTTTAAGGTTGAAAATAATCAGTTAATATGATTAACCCCTTAAAATAATGATTCCTCCTTCATAGTTAAATAATGATTATTTTCAATTAATTATTTCCAACCCATAAAATAAGTGTGTTCTTGTGTTTTTAGTTTAGGTGTGTGAGAAATATAAATTGAAGGTGTTAAGAAATCAACAAGGCTCAACAATCAAACCAAAGCACTAAGAAGGCCGGTCAAAGAAAATTTAATCGATAAATAAAATAAGTAAATAAATTAAAATATTACAAAAGCGTGAAATTCAAAATTCAATCCAAACCAGTGTGATGCACAAGAAATATCAAATATGATCATTGATTGATCAACACTAGAAGAGGAATATTTAGGTGATTTAATCGGTTAAATCAACCAATTAGAACACTTAAAACTGCAAGGATTGATTTTGATTTTTGGATAGCATGATTTGATCATCAAAATATTTTAGCCCACAAGCTCAAAAAACCCAGAAGGTATCACTATAAATATGTAATGTATTATAACCTTCTCCTGCATCTCATTCCATTCTTCTTCTTTGTTTTCATATAATCTTGCCAGAAGGTCAAAACATGTCTTCAAATCAAAGACCAAAAATTCCCCAAGAAAAGAGAGATAGTATCTTTGTTTCCATTAGAGATAAACATGAGGAAGATAAAAAGATGATCCTAGAAAAAAAATTACAGGACCATGGTCTATGGAAGATACATTCATGAGAGGTTACAAACCCTACACCCATATCTGTCAAGCATCTCTAAGAGAGTTCTTCACAAAAATCCTTGATAAAGTTTACCCAAAACTAGTGAGAGAATTCTTCATCAATATAGAAATTGTAGGAAACACCCTAATTACCTCTGTTAAAGGAGTGCGTATAAAAATCCAAAAAGAAAGATTTGGAAGAATCTTTGATATACCCTTTAAAGGGTCGTCCTGCTCTTCAAACAAACCCTCAGGTATCATAAACTTTAAATGTAGAGTAGTCATAGATTCCATAGTAATATTCCCCATGAAGGAAAGAACAATGCCTTTTAGAACAAACCTCTTAAAACCTAAAGTCAGAATACTCCATAATCTTCTAATCAGAATTTTGTTCCCAAGAAACACTGATAACTTTTGTGTCACTCAAGATGACATAACTCTACTATGGCTCTTATCACATAACATACCAACAAATTGGGTGGAAGGAGTGTTTTCTTACATGAACAAAATTAGAGGGGAATCATCAACCAGATTACCCTATAGAGCAATGATCTTAACCCTTATAAAAGTCTTCAAAGTTGACCTTCTATGAGAGAAATCAACTTCCTTCAATAATGAGACTAATTAACCTTCCTTCAACAAATAAAATTTGAGATTAAACTAACCAAACTAAGATATTATTGGATAAATGATGAAGAAGAAGAAGAAGAAACATAAGAGAAAAGTGAACACATAAGTCTAGGACAAATTTGGAATCTTTACCAGAACATGGCTATGGACATAGAGGAAATTAAGTCAAAAATAGGATGAATATAACTTACAAATTGTTTGTTTTATGTAATTTCTTTGTGTTTTTAGCTTTCTGTAATGTTTTACTCTTTGTAGTTTTTTTATTTTTGACATTTTAATAAAATGATGTTTTCTGCTTTCAATTAACTATGACCCTCATCTTGTTGAATACAAATATTTTTGAATTTAATAGATAGGCCATAACAAAATAAAATATGCCTATAAAGTTAAC